CGACATAGGTAAATCGCGCGTATCAAGCAATGTTGCTTTAATGGACTTTAAAGAGTCCGATAACGAGAATAAGTGGTAGACGTCATTTAGGTTCTTCCAAACGACTCTGAGCGGATTAAACAACTCATAATTAAATTTACACTGATTAAGCTTAACCAAGATAAAGTGCCTAGAGAAGCGGTTAGGGACATTAAAGCTTATTTCACCAAGTAATGAAGGCGAGTCAATAGCATCATTTATTACTTTAATTAGAAAGGAAACGCCAAGAACAAATCTACATTTCTCAAGAGACAGTAGGGACAGCAGAAGTAACCTATTTTCATACGGAGGAAGAGAGGCAATCGGATCCCAACCCAAATTTCTAAAGGAAAACAGCAAGAATTGCTTTTGAACAGATTCAATTGAATCTACGTAGCACCTATATGAAGGAGACCACACAACTGAGGCATACTCGAGGATGGGTCTAACCAAACACATGTACAGCCTTTTCGTAATGTAGGGATCATCAAGGTCTTTGGACCACCTTTTTATTAAACCAAGCGCGGACCTAGTTTTGCTTATCGGGAGTTCAATATGCAAGTTAAAACGTAACCTATGGTCAAATAGAACGCCTAAATCTTTAATCGAATCAACGTCCTCCAACTTATGCGAATCTATGAAATACTGAGTAATGAATGACGTTCTTCTTGAGAATGAAAGCTTCTTACATTTACTCAGATTTAGTTTCAGAAGATTCAAAGAGCACCATGCAACAAAATTATCCAAATCACCTTGAAGCTGATGTGATTGCGATTCAACAAAGAAGGAAGAAAACAGTTTCACATCATAAGCATACATTAAGATCTGACTGGAATTAACCTCCGATGGAACTGTATTTTAGAGTACTCAACCCTTTAAAAACATCATCTTCCGAAATAACCAAGTTAGGTATTGAAACCAAGTTAGATATTGAGTTAGTTATAGGATATGAGTAGTTTGCTGATAAATCGAAATTAGCAATCGAAAAGTTTCGTCGGA